AATAAATGTGTGTCTAATTTTTAGATAAAAACTAAAAATTGAGAAGTGTTATATCTATGATAAAAGGTTAAAAATATATATAGATGAATACTCCTCATGCTTAATATAAGAGTCAGTTTGGAGTTAGATTTGATTTGTTCCTAAATATAAGATTTTAGTCTACTTTGTTTCTCATATTTATTATTTTCTCTCAAATTAATTTATCTAACTTATAAATTGATATATTATATATATAAGAGTCAAGTGACACACGTTTTTACTCTTTTCGGGGTAAAATTGCACCCAAAAAAAATAAACTTTTGAATACCCATAGCTCTTTTTTAAAAATTTCAAGACAAAAATACATTTTAACCCAGTCAACATTAGTTAATTGTTCGGGTCTATTAGGATAGGATAAAATTGCTACATCTATACTACTTTCAAGGGAAAATTGCACCCAAAAAAAAAAAACTTTTGGGTACCCACAACTCCTTTTTTAAAACTTTCGGGACATAAATATTGTTTAACCCATTAATTAATTAACAATTATACTTAGAAAGCTAGAATATAATCATCTTTCAATTAATCAATTAAAAACCACTTTATTTGGAAATTCAATTAAACAATTATATCTTGTTCCTTGAAGAGAGTTATCTACCAAAAACCCTAGAACATGAACTACTTCTATAAATCATAATAGAAATATATAAAAATAAATACTCATAAAATCATGAGAAAACTGAAAATATATTCATTGAAAACTCCAAAATGTGATTTATCCAATTGAAATAGAAATTAAATAACAATCCATAAAAATAAAAGTCCTAATCTTGAAAGTTTATAAAAACAATGTACTCATGGATTGAAATATTGAAACTATCAAACTCCTTAGTATAAACAAGAACTCAAGCTATGTCATCTTGTACTTAGGAACAAGAAGGACTAGCCACACATATGGTTGGATAACACCATAATGATAAAAAGAAAATAAGAAGAAGACAGTAAGCAACTAGAGACTTGTGATTATGTAAGTGTAGATGACTTTGTTGCTTCTCTAAGGCTCGATTGATCTCTTTTTATAGCTCTTGAATCTATCCTAGTTTGAATGATAAAATTCTTCAGACTTCTAGCTTTATTTTTTTTGTCTTCTTTTATCTTGTAATTTTGTTGATCTCTTGCCTTTGAGGAAAAGGATTTTGTTTAATATATCTTGAATTCAAAAGATAAAACTTGAATTTGAGTTTTCTTCATTTAATGTGATCTTCACGGCAACCAAAAGGAAGAACCTTTGAATTTAAATGATAGTGGATAAAAGAAATTAATATTTCAAAATTAAAAAAAATGATGATAGGATGAATTGGGGTTAGAGTTTAGGAAGAGGATAAGGATGATAATGTGGATATTTGAACAATTATAAGAATAATGGATATATGGTGGATATGGCATGAACTTTATTGGAAAATATGAATAAAATATTTATTTAGATTCAAAATGCAATAAGAAATTATCCACACACAAAAATTAATTATTTAAGCTTTTCAATTTAGGGTGGAAGGTAGGAGATATTTTGGTGGGATATTTTGAATAATTCGCAATTAGATAATTGAAAAATGTTTTTAAATTTCAAGTGGCTACCTAAATTTAGTCTCTATGAGGCCCTTTTTTTCCTTAGGCTTGGTCATGTAAAATGACCATTTTGCCCTTGCCCTATGAAATTACCATTTTCCCCTTAACTGCTCCGACCAAATATGATTATAGAATATTGTTCTATCTTGTTTCCTTACAGTGATGCTTCCATTCGGGCCCCCAAGTTATTCTTATAGCTCTTGAAAATTTAATTTTAAAATCTGAGTACATTTTTTATTAATGAAATATTTCCTGAAATCAAAGCAAAGATACCTTTCAAAATGGAAATTATAGAAATATAATTAAAAAAAACTTTTAAACAATTAATTTATATAATTTGCTTAATTCAAATTTGGAGTATCTCCGTATTCTAAGCCCTTTAAACATTATAAAGTTCCTTAATTATATATAAAAATATATTATAAAATAGGGATACATGAAGAGGTGTCTACATTTGGTGCACAAATAAGATTACCTCAAATAAACAGATACCAATGCTTACTAAAGAAAAAAGAACCAATTGAACCAAAAAAATAAATAGTACCACAAAATATGCTATTTTTGTATGTTCTATAGGTCATTTTTCGTATGTTTTGGGGGAGATGTTGACTAAAGATAAGACATAGATAGTGTGCATTTATTCATAAAAAAAAAATCACTATATTCGTCTGTTCTACCAAAACAAATGAAAATAGTGCTATTATATTCGTCTATTCTAATCAAAACAGATAAGAGCCTATATATATTTGCTTGTTATGGCTTGAATGGCTTTGTTCGTCTGTTTTGGCCATAGTAGAGGAATATAGTGATTTTTCTTTTTAAAATTATTTGCAGTGTTAGTTTTTATTATAACTTGTAATTCTAAATTGTATGAAGCAAAACCAAAACAGAACAACAATGACAACAATTCAGTAAAACTAAATCATGTCACACTTTCCATACAAACCACAATTTTAAGGGTAAAAACAAATGACAACAATAACATCCAAAATAGCTTAGTTAAGTGAAAATTAAACGCCCAAACTCAATCATATAATACGAGAAAGTTTAAAACTAGAAAATTTAATGACATCCTAACTTATTTAAATAGATATTTTAATTTTTAGAATCCCATAGCTTTCTAAAATTCAACATAAAGATTAAATATTGAGGACACTTAATTAGCTTTCTCACCTAGATATTTTTACAAACACCTTATGTGCATTAATATTTAAATAGGTTTAATATGATTTTAATCTTGATATACTTTCCTAACCACTATAATTGCTTTCCAAAAGCTATTATTCACCACCAATTAATTTAAATAGAAAATTTTCAACACCCAAAAACACAAACAATCACTTTCAACACCAATATAATAGTCACACACAATCAAAACATTCAGCACTAAGCCACACAAGTTATCTTGCGTCTTGCAAAGCTAAAGCCATGGAAAAAGAAGGAGAGAGTGTCGTCAAGCAAGCAAAAGCAAAGATGAGAAGCTATCTGCCATCAAGAAGAGAGGCTGGCTATGGAATTCACTAGGTCATTGAGCTGTTGTGTTACCAAGACTAAGAAGAGAAGAGGAGCTATCGCCTGCCAAGAAAGAAAGAAAAGGGAGAAGAATGCTAGTTGTTGCAGGAGTATAGAGGAAGAGGGAGAAGAGGAAGCTTGTGGCAAAGGAGAAGAGGAGAGAGAAAACTGCTGCTAGGCTTCTCTCTGATCTAGTGAAAAAGTGCGCTACGTTTTGTGAGTTTGAAATTTAAAATAAAAAGTTTTAAATTTGTCACATAAATATCAGATGAGTATATACATATATACTCATCTGTTAGAGCATAACAGACGGGTATGTACATGCATATTCGTCTGTTAGCATGTAACAGATGAGTATGTACATGTATACTCATTTGTTACCTTATAACATATGAGTATAGTGGCTATTTTTTTTTTGGTTTTGAAAAACAGATAAAAATGATAGATAAAAATGACTTTGATTGTAGTAGTGAAAACACCAATGAGAAAGTAACCAAAAGAAAAGAAAGTAATAGAACTAAGAAAAAAGAAGGAAAAAAAAAAAAAACGAAACCAGTTGAATCATCAGATTTTAGAGAATATAGCATTTTCTAAAGTTCCAAGGAGCCTTCAAACAGATAGAACTTTCCCCTTCTTTCATTAGGCGGATTTGTCAAACATACATAAAATATAATAATTTGGTGGTCTAGCCTACTCCAATCTGTTTGATTTCAGATTGATTTTCTTTTACTACCTCTAATTCTTAATATAAGGCTAGTTTAACATTCAATTTGGTCCTAAATATAAGCTCCCAATCTATTTTGTCTATCATATTTATTCATTTTTTTTTTCAAAATATCAAATGGTAGTTCTAGCTAATGCACATTGATTAACAAGGGTACTTTAGAAAAAATGCACATATTTTTTTTACAAATAACTAACATCACTAATTTTTTTAATCTACTCAAATTAGTCAACTAGTTTTTGTACTACCTCTGGTCTTTATATAAGAACTTACTTGACCTTTATTTTGGTTCTAAATATAAGACCATAATCCACTTTGTCTCTCATATTTATACATTTTTTTAAGATAGTGCTTCTAATAATGGTAGTTCTAGCTAATACACTTAATTAGTAAGGATATTTTATGAAAGACAACACTTATTTATTACAAATAACTAACTTAACTTATTTTTTTAGTTTCTTCAAATTAATCAACTGGTTCTTATAATCAGGATCAGAGGTAGTATTTTGTTTTTTTTATTGGCTCAGACCGAATAGCCTCAAGTCGGACCAAGTTGACCGGGTTTGTTGGTTGTTTACATGATCAGCATTAGAGAGCAAATTGTGAAGTCCCATTAATGCATTAATGCGCCCCACGTTTTCAGTCTAGTCATAAGTCCATGACATGGACTCATATCATTGGAAGAATTTGATTTATTGTTTATTTTGATTTGATTTGTCACATTCCCTCTCCTCGTGTTATCATTTTGAAAACTAATGCTATTCTTATTCTTAATATAAAAGTTATTTAAATAAATTAAGAAAATTAATTAAATATGTAACATTACATAACATATGAGTTTATAAGTTAGATAAATTAATTAGTTTGGAAAAAAAAGTGATAGATAAAATATATTAAGATCTTATATTTACTTTACCAAAAAAAAAGCATGTGATTACCGTCAAAATTTATCAACCAAATAGAATTCTGTCACTAATCTATTGTTGCATTTAGCAAAGGAATATTCATTGGTAATAAGTTGAAAATTAACAATGGGATAATTTTTTATCACTAATTTTATCAGTAATAAGTTATTTTTTTAAATAAATTGTAGGATCAAAATCAGCCCGTTAACCAGCTCATACAACTTGGAAAGTATAGTGGGATATGACAAATGATATATATAACCAATGCATGCATCAAGATTATTATTAATATATCTATATCTATATCTATAATAACAAGCTAGGTTACATTATTATTCATATTAATTAGTTCATTCTAAAACACTAACTTTTCTCATGAATAGTTTGGGAGGAAAACAAGTCCTTGCAGAGTTCTCCATAGAATCCACACACTAAATCAACAAACACAGGGTTCTTGAGCTTCTTCCAGCAACACAGAAGCTCCTCCACATCCATCAAGTCCTTCGTCTTCCTTTCTTCCACTATCATTTCCACTAGATGCTTCTCGAACCTTCTACACGCTTCTTCGACTTCAACATCATCACCATTATCGCCACCGCCACCACCTTCTCTCATTATTCTCCGATCGCTTTCTCCTCCATTGTTATAAACTATTGTTAATGGCGACGGAAATACCACAGCTTCAACCTCTGGCGCATCAATGGAGGGACCTGCATGATGATGATCAAGATCACGTTCAACCTTATTCTTCGTGTGTTTGGGGGATCTCTTTGGAGAACGAAACACTGAGAAGAATGAAGGAGAAGGGGAAAACGACATTATTGCTTTTAATGGATTGAAGAACAAGAAGGAGAAGAAAAGCTTGTGATGATAACGACGACGACGGAGACAGCGAGAAGGTGCAAGAGATCTTATAAGCAAAACTGGGTTGTTGAGCTTTGTGCGTAGCTTGATGAAAAGCTTGGGTCAGAAGATTCTAAATGCTTTCAGTTTCATCGATCTGGAAATCATAATAAGGAGTGTGGATGAAGAATAATGAGTATAGCAGATCAGTTTGAAACTGGATGGACGGATGAGAAAGAGAAAGAAATTTAGTAATCTGCAAGTGGTGTTGGTTAGATAGCTAGAGAGAATTATTATGAGGTTGGAGGAGAAAAAGGGATCAGATGGAATATGCATATATGCTGTGGGTTGTGTGACAGAAGTGGCTTTGACGCCTGAACGAGAGTGTCCACTTACCAGGGTGGGCCATGGTGTTTGTATTATGAAATTTCTAAAAAAAGGAGAGGGCTGCTGGTCGCCCCGGGGGGGGGGGGGAGGGCTGAAATTGAATCTTCGGTGAATATATAATAGTACCTACCGTGGGGGCATGACCCAACCAGTCCTCCAGATTATAATTAAATGTAGGGAGAATTACATATAGGTTCAAAATTAAAAAAAAAAAATCATATTAAGTACCCACAAGTCTCGACACCATTGTGAATATTGAAAATTTTATTCTAAAATTTAATGCCCTACGCACTCTACATATCATGAGTTATTTAAAAATTGAAAATTAATTTAGAAAGAACATAAAAATATGTTAAAATAATATTATAAAATCGACGTAAGAACATGTTCCATTTTGTAATTTGTTATATCCCCATGCATAATAAAAAGTTAAATAACATATTTTATTCCAAAATTTATTAACCCATGCATAATAGAAACATAAACAAAAATGTGTTTTGATTGTAATTTATTACCCTATGCATATTAAAAATACATATTACGGGTGAATAAAAACAGTTTATGTTTTTTTTGTTGTATAAGCAATTTATGTTATTATAAGTTTTTTACTCTACAATTTATTACTTTGTCCATGCTTAAAATACGCCGTAAAAGTATTTTACTAAAGAATTTCAATTATTTGTAAATTATAATTCTAATCAACAAAAATTGTTTAGGGAAAATCTCTTAAAAAGATGCTTTAATAAATTAGATTATTAAATTTGTTAAATTTCTAATCAGGTTACATAGTCCAAAAAGGGATTTTAAAATTTTATGAAATGATTCTAATATCCCCTTTATTAGAAACTTAGAGAGATGATAATTTCTATAATTTATGTGCTGTGTAAGAACTCTGAATGAAAAAATTTGGTGTCTACCATTGCAAATTCAAAAAATTGATCAAGTAAGCAACAATGAGTTATTTTTTACATTAAATCTTCCTCCCTTATTGCAAGTGTGTTATGAAGACAGAATGTTGTTAATTTAGAATATAAATGTGTTAACTGTTAAATGAAATATGTTAATTTTCAAAGTTGTATTGTGATCAAGTTTAATTCAACGACTCATTATAAGCATGTTATGTAGATATAAAGTTGTTAATTTAGAACTATAACTTACTAACTATACAACTGAACGTGTTAATTTTTAAAATTATATTGTGATCAAGTTTTATTGTGTGTATTATGGGGATAGAAAGTTGTTAATTTAGAATTGAAAGATGTTCATTGTAAATTAGAACATGTTAATTTTTAAGATTATATTGTAATAAAGTTTTATTTAAAAAATTATTGCAAGTGTTTTAGGAAAAATCCCTTAAAAAGGCGCTTTAATAATTCAAATCCTTATTTAGGTAACTAAATTTGTCAAATTTCTAATCAAATTACATAGTCCAAGGTAGGGCTGTGCACAAAACCCAAAGTTCAGTTTGACCTGGTCCAGACTAATAAAAACCCAATTCAGTTCAACATAAAAAAACACAGCCTGAACAAAAAAAAAAATTGGACTAGACTGGGTCAGCCATCGGGTCAGACTGGGTTATGGATTAACCCTTCAGACCAAATGGTCTGGTCTGGTCCGGTGCCTTCATTATTTTTTTTTAAAATCCCCTTTTCCACCAAACCCTTGCCCTCTTCCCTCATTTTCTCATTTCCAATCCCGCGGCTCTTCCCTCTCTCTCACAATCTCCTTAGCTACTTTCTCTACCTTCTAAAGATTCTTTCATATCTCAACCGAAGAACATCTTGCGAATTCTTTCTCTCACAACACACACAAGGTTGAAGCTTCAAGCAATGACCATCTCTCCTCCTTCTTCCCTCTCCTTCTTTATCAGTGTTCTTCGAGTAATGACACCGTCAACCCTATCACTAGTTAGCGGTTACTCTGTTTTGGCCCCCTCTTCTATCCTTGAGTCACAACCTCGTCGATCTCTTGTTCTTTATTCAGTCTTTACCTTGTGGCTCTCCATCCTCCTATGTCACATCCTACAAAAATTAATCCTGACAATGGCTGACAAAGTCAGGCATGACATAAAATTCGGACAGGGTCCGGACCGATATTTTTGAAATTATAAATCTAGGAAAGGCAAAATAGAAAAATTTGGAAAAAATTTCAGAAAATAGTAAAAAGATAACTTAGAGATTTTTGAACCTCAATTGAGGCCTCAAAGGTGAAAATAATACGAAAATAGCTTATTATTGAATTTCCTGAAAACAGAGGTTTTTCAGAAAAAATAGTGGAAATTGGAGGAAAATAATTATTTTAAATATTTAGAAGCCTCAATAATTCTGAAAAAAATGTGAAATAATTATCTAAATATTTTTAAGAATTTATAAAATTGGTTTCAGGCCCTGAAAGTATAGGAATTAATTTTGGAAAATTTATCCCCAAATGTCTTACCGATAAAGCTCTATTCGGAGAAAATTCAGACTAAATAGCTAGAGGTAAAAAAAATCATAGAAATTTCCAGATCATATTTCATATTAAAAAAGGATTTTTCATGGAGAAAATGTGATTTTGGAGGCAAAAAAAAAATTATGAAAAGTTATAAGTGAATAATAACTGATAAGCTTCATTGTTGTTTGGAATTGATATCTAAATTGTGGGCCATATTTTTGGACCATTCTAGATCAAAAGTGGGCCCTACATTGGGCCAAGAAATGCCCAAAAATTCGTGCAAACCTGGCCTGATAATTAAAATGGATTTAAGCCTAATTTTCACATAAAAATCAATGGAATATTCTTGGAATATGGACACATGGAAAGATATGCAAAATTGGAGGGTTTGATGGTAGCCACATGGCCATTTTTGCTGGCCAAATTTCGCCATTGATGAGGGGAGGAGATGAGATTTTTTTATCTATAAGTACCCCCTCATTTTACACATAATTCAGCTAATTGGGAAAATTGAGGGAAAATTTTATCAAAATCAAAACTCACCTCTAAACAGCATTAAATGCCCTCCAAATCCAAGAAAAATTGTCAAGCTTCAAGTTAGGACCCATTAAGGTATGTCTAAACTTGATTTTGGTTGGATTTAAGGGTTATTTTGATTGTTACTTCATGAAAATTCCATGGTATGATGCTGCTGCAATTCAGCCAGATCAAGAATGACTTAGGAAAGGATAGGAACCCTGGTTATGAGCTTGAAATTACATGTTTAGTTGATGCTTGGATTGAATCTTGGAAGAAATCAAAGTTAGGGTTTTATGGCATACAATTCAACCACTATGGTTTCTTAGGGTAGAAATTTGTTTTGCTGTGATTTGATGATTCTAATGAGTTTAAAAGGTGTTTTTGTGTAGAGAAACACTAAGAGAAAGTGTTTAAAATCATTGGAATCAAAAATGGAATTTTTGGAAAAACAATACCCCTTATTTGGCCAAAGTGAATTGAAGGGGAAAGTGTGTGATTTTGATAAATCTGATTTAATATTTAGATTCTACATGAAAAATTGTGTAGGAATGGATCAAGAGATTGATAAAAACAAAGAGGAATTAATTATGTCAAAAATCAAGAAAAAAGGGATTTAATTGAACTTAATGTCAAGCATTAATACTTATGCTTGAATTATTGATAAATTGGGATGTGTTATTGCATGAATTGATAAGCATTGTGCAAGAGAACAAGGAGGAACCCAAAGGAATTGAAGAGGCCGAATTGGTTCAAGTATAAGAAGTAGCATTGAATCTATAATTTGATTATTTTTCTTGCTTGTTTAATGTGTTTATATTGCTTGCTTTATGTTGGTTGAACTATGTCATGGTAATGGTTGAATTCATTATGCTTGATATGCTTTGGCCAAATGCATAATAATATGCCAATGTGATTATGTGATTGTTTCCTTTCATGGCATAATGCATGACATAATTTTTATATGATTGCAGGATGTTTTGAAGTATTGTAATATATCACATTATGCAATGCTTGATCAACATGATAATTATAGTTTATTGCTATTGAGATTTTTATGAAATCTCATTTCTTTATGTTCTAATATTCACCAAGTAGGAGTTGAATCAAGCAAGGAGAGAGGAAAAAGAATTCACTTTGGAGGATGATTGAGCTTAATGTTGTTAAAGTTATGTTTTGTAATTTATTATGTATTGTTATGTATATTTGCCAACTATGTTGGAATATTGGATTAATGATTAATGATACTTTACATGTGAGTTAGAAGAAATCATGTTTAAGCATATGAGGTATGATTGGGAAGATCATATGAAAGGAAAGGAAAAAAAAAAAACCAAGAATCTCATGAAAAAAGGACAAAAGTTAACTTTTTAAGGGTCAAGTTTGACCAATGAAATTTTATGCAATTGGATGAGTCTTGAGCTGAACTTTGGCAAGTTTATAGATCATATTTTCAGCTTTAAAATAAGTGGTATTTCACCAAACTTGGAGTTTTATACAGAAAGTTATGTTTTTCCAAAGTTGGGTATAAATATTAGAAAATTAAATATTGCAGCTCTGCAACAAGAAAAAACAATATGATCATCAACAGTAATGGTAGCAAATGTGAAAGAAGACAAAATATGGCAGTTCTTGACTTATTGGGTTAGAATGAAAGAGAAACG